TTTGTCTTCTCATTTCTAACCCTGCATCCCTCTACTCTGTCCTCTACATAACAACCAGAATTGTGTTTTAAAATTGAAAACCAGATTGTGTCATTCCTTTTACAAAAGTCTTCAGTACTTCTCATTGTACTTAGACTAAAATTGAACATATTGATGTGGCCTATGTGACCACATAAGATTTGGCTTTTAGAGCTGAGGATGTACCTCAGTGGCAGAGGGCCTGCCTGACATGTGCAAGGCAATGGATCTTATCTCCAGTATTGCAATCAAACAGATGCAAATGATCTGCCTTTCAACCTCATTCCATAGCACTCCTTCACTCAGTGACCGCACTCTGGCTGCATTCCCGTCTTTTCTGTTCACCAACTTGTTTTTGGACAACCAGATATTTGCACTTGTTCTTTCCTCTGCTGGGGATGTTCTTCCTACTTCTCTCTGTGGTTGGCTCATTCTCATCTTTTAGGTCTTATCTGCAATGCCACCTCTCAGAATGATATTCCCTAACTCCCCAATCAAAAGATTTTCCTTCCCCCCCACAGAATCATTTCATTAAAGCACTCTATTTATTCCCCTTCCAACATTACAGTATAAAACTAACCACCTTTTCTGATCAGTTGGCCTGTCTATTGATTTCTGTGCTCACTGGAATGGGATCTCCAGAAGGATAGTGGTTATATTTGCCTTTCGTATCACTGCATCCACAATGCCTAGCAGTTGTTGAGCAAATCCCCCAGTGATGCACATCCTCCAGCAAGGCTGCTTCTCCTAACATTTCCATGACATCACACATAGCACCATCAGTGGCAACCATGTATGCAAGTATATGTGCCTAATAGGGGACATTTCCATTCAAACTACTATAGTACTTCCTTCAAAATTAAGTTCAGCGCCAGGCATAGAGGGGGAATCCTGTAATTTTGGCATTTGGGAACCTGAGGGAGGAGGATTATGAGTTCAAAGCCAGCCTGGGCCTCACAATGAGATACTGCCTTAAAATATCAAAACCTAGAAGGTTATATGGCCTCTACCTGTAATCCTGGCAGTCAGTAGGCAATGGCAGAAGGATTGGCATGAGTTTGAAGCCACCCTGGAATACACAGTTTCAGCCATGCCTGAATGGACTTCAGAGTGAAACCCTGTCTCAAAACAACATCTGTGAAAAGGAAAAAATAGCAATAAAATGAAAATCCATAAAAATAACTCAGTTCAAAGCCAGGTACAGTATGAAACACCTGTTATCCTAGCACTTAGGAAAGAGAGGCAGGAGAATTGTGAGTTCTAGGCCAGTTTGGGTTACATAGTGAATGGCATTCTAGGAAATCCTATTACAAAACCCGAAAACACTAAACCTTAATTTAAGACTCATTACCTCAGAGCCCCTAATCATTATAGCCCTGATCCCCTGCTGAGCCTTTTAGTCACTTATTCAGCACTCATAGATTGGGCTTCCATGGCAGTCTTGGCAGTAGGAGACACTACTCTGTCATGCTGTGCTTGTGTGCGCTTTGTGATCCTAATCATTCATGGGTGTTTTATTCCCTAACTTACTCCTAGGTGGATATCACAGCACACTTCTCTATAATTCTTCTGAAGTTCTTAGTCCTGTGTATTGTACACTGGTAACCAAAAGTTAGGAAGGCAGAGCATCTTGTCCCACCTCTAAGGAAATAAAAGTAGCTCCATGTTCACTTTAGGAACAGAATTCGAATTTTAAAGACTTGTTCTGAAACTACAGGAAACTGAGCCATATCCCTGATTTTATTGGGGGAAAAAAACCTTAAGTCAGTGAGGCTGGAGAGATGGATCAACTAGGAAGAGCACATACTGATCAAGAAGAGGAACTGAATCTGACTCCCAACAACCATGGCCAACAGCATATAATCACCTGTAACTGCAGATCCAAAGGAATCTGATGCCCTTGGCCTCCACACACACACTTACATACACATATCCTCACTCTAACCACAAACAACTAAAAATACCTCTTAAAAAAGCAAACAAACCAAGCCAGGTGATGGTGGCACATGCCTTTAATCCTAGCACTTGGGAGGCAAAGGCAGACAGATCTCTGTAAGTTTGAGGCCAGCCTGGTCTACAGAGTGAGTTTCAGGACAAGCTTTAAAGCTACAGAGAAACCCTATCTTGAAACACCTCCTCCAAAAAATAAGGAAACCTAAACTAAATCAAAACAACATTACAACAACAAAAAAACAACAAGCAAACAAAAAACCAAAACCAAACCTCCACAGCTCACAGACTCCACTGTGTCAAGTAGCATCTATTTTATATGTGTGAAAGAATGCACAGAAGAAATACTAACACGTAAATAATGTGAGGTTAGATTACAACTTCTGTCAAAAAAATACACTTAGAGAATTCAGCATTTTCTGAAATTTTGTTTTGTTGCTTCAAAGAAAATAGCAATGGACAAACATGGAATATTGACTGGATGAAGTATTTGCCTCCCCCCAAATACTAACAGATCAGGCTACACATGTCAGCGGCATTCCCTACAAAACACTCTGCTACAGGAGTTGGAAAATGAGTTATCTTGTATTATTTAAACCAAAGGTCTGTATACTTAACCATAGTTTTATAACTTTGATTAGGAATAAATTACATTTTTATCGCTTTTTTAAAAAGTAAAGAACAAATTTTAGATTTAGTTATTTTATTTTATATATGTGGGTGTTTTCCTGAATGTATGTATGTATGTGTACCATGTGCATGTCTGGTGCTTGTGGAATTTAGAAGAGGGTGTTAGGTCCCGTAGGATTGCAGTACATGGAATTGAACCTGGGTCCTCTGCAAAGCAACACATGTTCTTAACTGCTGAGCAAACCCCTCCAGCCACATTTCTTTTTTCCTTTAGAAAATAAGTTTTATTTGAAAAAAATATTTTCAACATTCTGAAAACCTTCATATATATGGTAGAGGGGAGGAACAGAAAATATGTGTGAATTAATGTCAGAAATAATTTATTTACTTATTGTTTTCTGAGGGAAGATTTTACTAGAAGAAGCTGAACTAACTTATGTAGCTAAGGCTAGCCTTGAACTCATGATCTTCCTGCCTTAGCCGTCCAAGGTCTGTGATTGCAGAGGGGGACTACCACATCTTGTTATATAGTAATGCATTTTAAAATGCATAAATTGGTACTATTTGAAAAGTGTAGTTATATGGATTTTACACAGAATCCCCATTTGATTACATTAAAATAAAAAGCAAACAAATGCCTCTCCAATGGGTGATTAGCCTAAAAGATTTTTATTTCATGCTATTTGGGGGAAGTATGTATGTCATATGTTCTATCTTTCCTTTCTAGGCAACTAGGACATCTTGTGAGAATAACAGAAGATGACTGAATAATTTATTTTAAGAGTAGGCTTACAAAGCAAGTTAAAAAGTCAGATAATTAAGGCTGTTGGAACTGTGCATGACTTGAGTCAGGAATGTCAGTGCATCATTAAGAAGTCATGGGGAACACTGCCTTCTTGAAATAGAAGCTTCTAGGAAACAAGGAGGACCCTAAGGGAGACATACATGGTCCCTCACAGAAGAGGAAAGGAACAAGATTTCCTGAGCAAATTAGAAGCAGTGGGGAAGGGAGAGGGAGTTCAGGGGGAAGAGGAGGGGAGAGATGGGTATGAGGGAGCAGGAAAGAATGGTGGAGAGCAAGAAAAGAGATACCATGATAGAGGGAGCCAATATAGGTTTTAAAATAATCTGGCACTAGGGAAATGTCCAGAGATCTGCAAGGATGACCGCAACTAACAATCTAAGAGGCTACCTTAAATGCCCTTCCCAGATAATGAGATTGATGACTACCTTATATGCTTTCATCCCATAGCTGATAGAAGCAGAAGCAGAGATCCTCAGCTAAGCACTGAGCCAAACTCCTGAAATCCACTTGCAGAGAGGAAGGAGTGATGAGCAAAGGAGCCAAGACCAGGCTGGAGAAACCTACAAAAACTGCTGACTTTAACAAGGAGGAGCTCATGGACCCCAGTCTGATAGCTGGGAAACCAGCATAGGACTGACCCAGACCCCCTGAATATGGTGTTAGTTAGGAGGACTGGGCAGTCTATGGAGCCTCTGGTAGTGGATCAGTATTTATCCCTAGTATACGAATGGACTTTGGGAGCCCATCCCACATAGAGGGATACTCTCTCAGCATAGACACATGGGGGAGGGCCTGGGCCCTGCTCCAAATGATGTGACAGACTTTGAAGACTCCCCATGGAAGGGGCCATCTCTGGGGAGCAGAATGGGAATGGGATGGGGGTTGGGAGGAAGCAGGGGAGAACGGGAGGGTGTGGGAACTGGATTGACATGTAAAACAAATTTGTTTCTAATTTAAATAAAAAATTAAAAAAAAAGAAAGAAAAGAAATAGAAGCTTTGAACCTTGGGGTGCTTGATATTTCAAAAACAAATGAGGGCTCTAGAGATTAGCCTTGCAGTACACACTTGCAATCTCTGCTGTCTGGGAGTCTAAGCAGGAAGATCACTACCTGAGGACAACAAGGACTTTGGAGCAAGATCATTTGGGAAAAAAAAAGAAAACCAAAAATTTCATTTAGGGTTTTGATAAGGCCTAGCCTATGCAGTGCTCTCCAAAGCCAGCAAACGTATAAGAAGTCTGTGTGGGGAAGCCACAGGCCCAAGTAAGAGCAACTTGGTCTCCTCCACCTGGACTCTCATGGCTGGGTTCATGATGTGTCTGCTCTGCTACTTTAGCCACAAGATGCTCTGAAGTGTTGTGGCGATGCTCCTTCTCAGGGTGTTTCTCCTCAGAGGGTATAACATGCATCTGATTGCCACTAGCCTTCCTTATAAAGTCTGGTGACAAAGTAGTGTCAGGAAAGCTTTACAAAGTACAGGCATTCACAGGGAAAATTTGAGGTTCTGAAGTGATGTATGGCCCAGTGGTCTCATTTCCAAGAGCAGCAGGCAGCAGTACTCTCTCATTCCTCCTGATGTTCACAGGTAAGAGGCCATGTTCATCTGCAAGTCTTCCCACAGGTGAAGTTCCAGCAGTTTTACAGAGTTGGTTTTTTAGATTCCAGTTTTCTGGGTTTGAAGAATTTCTTTAATTCCCGTAATTCCTGGGGCTTCAAACTTTGGTCCACTCCTGGAGTCAATTTATATGTCAGTGGGGACAGGATGTACCCATTTTGATAAAGAAAAATTCTCTTACAGAACTCAAACATGCTAAACATAAGTCCAAAATATGGAACTACCTGTTGAACAGAAAATGAAAATTGTGTTAAATTATTTGTTTTAAAGAGGTACTTTTATTTACGTATCTGTGTGTCTGTGAGGGGGTGGGCACCCATGGGTTCCAGAACAGGGTTTTGAATCCTTAAGAGATGCAGTTATGTAGGGTTGCGAGTCTCTCAACATGGGTTTGGGGAACTGAACATAGGTTCTCTGGAAGAGCATCAAACGCTCTCTCTCCAGCCTACATGTTAGACAACTTTTTATATTAAAATTTAATTTAAGACAGGGTTTCTCTGTATTGCTTTGGAGCCTGTCCTGCAACTCACTCTGTAGACCAGGCTGGCCTTGAACTCACAGAGATCCACCTGCCTCTGCCTGCTGAGTGCTAAGATTTAAAGGTGTGTGCCATCACTGGCAAGCTAATTTATATATATATATATATATATATATATATATATATATATATATATATATATGTGTGTGTGTGTGTGCGCGCACTTGGAAGTATATGGAGTAATACTCTCCATTCAATCATTTTACTTTTGCCGATTTCAATATCGCAAAGTTTAATTAACAGAACAGAGAAGCTGCCCTGAACTGAACTCCACACTTTGGGGCTATATGTTAAATTATTAAGAAAAGGTGCTTCTGCAGTGGAGTTTGCACCAGGCTAAACTGAGGTAATAGCTGTGGCCAGTACTACATGGTAATTCTTTTTGAAATCAGAGGATATAGAAAGAGGAAAAAAATTTGTACAGTGTGGGAGGGGAAGAAGGATGCCAGGGCCACTGAATGGCATACCCCAGGCAAGCACTGGGTCTACATTAATATGTATGTAGTTGATCTGCCACTGCTCATCACTGTATGCTGGTCAAGACTGGATATTTACAGAGATTGTTTTTTTTTTTTTTTTTTTTTTTTTTTTCCGAGACAGGGTTTCTCTGTATTGTTTTGGAGGCTGTCCTGGAACTAGCTCTGTAGATCAGGCTGGCCTTGAACTCAGAGATCCTCCTGCCTCTGCCTCCCAAGTGCGGGGATTAAAGGCGTGCACAAGCACTGCAAGGCCCGTGTTCTTGCTCTTAATTCTGGTGGTGGAAGTCTATTGAAATGTGATGCATTCATGTATGGTATTTGTATTTCTGCAGACAATTTTAGATGGGAAATACTGATTCTCCTTAGGAGTCCATGTGTTCCACTGTTGGAAAATTCTAATTGAGACTAAATGCTCAGCTCTTCTAGGATGGGGTATTAGATTCCCCACCACGACATTCATCAGGGTTGATGGGTAGTGTCTATCAGTGGTAGATGGGCTGTTTTCATGCAATTTGTAGTGAGGTGATAAGGAAGGGAAAGAACTGGAACAGGCAGAGAAGCAGGAGATTGGCCACCCTTCTCACCTTTAGTAAGTTAGCTGTCAGTCCACTCCAGAGCCCCAATACCCCTTGGGTCTTCACTATCTGCCGGAAGCAGTCCAGTGCTCCAGAGAAATGGACATCTACTTCTCCACAGTGGGGAAGATAAGGACTTTGAGCCTGGCAGCAAATAGAAGGTATGAGGAAGTGATTTAAGTACTTAGATGTTAATGTCCTACATAAAATAATCAGGGTCTCAGATCTGAATTCTGGATGCTCTGTGCCAAGATAGTAGAAAAAAAAAACAGTAGCTTCAGAGTTCATCTTCCATGGTCTTAGAAAGAATTTTTTTTTTTTTTTGAGACAGGGTTTCTTTGTGTAACTGTGTTGGCTGTCCTGGAACTCTCTCTGTACGCTAGGCTGGCCTTGAACTCACAGTGATCTGCCTGCCTTTGCTTCCTGAGTGATGGGATTAAAGCCACCACTGCCCAGCTAGAATAAAAATAATTCTGAGATAAGGCATTTCTTACGTAACCCAAGACTGGCTGGGATTTCACCATACTTCTCTTTTAGCCTCTTGAATGCTGAGATTACAGGTGTGAGCCACCATGCCTAAATTAGAACAAATACTGATTAGCCATAGAACCATGCATGATGCCTTACTCACATATTTGTGGTGTAGTTTTCTTAAAAGAAAGTATGCATTTTGGATAGACTCGATTTCATACTTCCATCCCATCCTAGCCTATGCCCAATGGACCTATTATATACTCCTATGCCTTTAACCTGTTTTTTTGAGATTATTTATTTTTATTTTACCTCTATGGGAGATTTACCTGCATGTATATCTGTGTACCATGAACATGTGAGGGCATCAGATCCCCTTTTAACTGGAGTTATAGATGGTTGTTAGCTAAAAGGAAAGTACTAGGAATAGAACCTGGGCCCTCTGGAAGAGCAGCCAGTATTCTTAACCACTGAGCCATCTTTCCAGTCCCAGACTTTAACCTTTTTGTTTTTTGGGTGCCCTCCTGACTCCTTAACTGATCCCTCTCCTGGGAAACCACCATGTACGGGCTTATTTTCCCACAGCACAAACGTCACAGGATTGAGAACAGGGTGTTTGGGGCATTCTTCTGGTTGCCTATTGCTGTCTGCTTCACTGACATGACAAAAGTGCTCATCTGGAGCCCAAGCTACTCCATATCCTTGTCCTGTTGTCAACTATGGACCTCCTGGCCACCCTTCTACATTTACTGGAGACTGACACTGGTGGTTCAGTTTAGTTGAGTCTCGCCATCATCTTAGGTAACTTTAAAAAGAAAAGGATAAAAAGGAATAGAAAAAAAAAAAAGACATTAAGTCGGGTAGGGGAGATATGCTGTGGGAATGGCTCAGGAGGGGTTGGAACAAGGGAGTAAGCTTGGCTATGACCAAGATATTTGTATATACACATACTTGTATATGTGTACAAATTTTTCAAAGACTAAGAGAATGCAAAAAAGGACAGTCTGTGCCAGTCTCAGTCTGGCCCTCATCCTCAGGGTTCCTCACTCTTACACCTTTGTCATTTGTCACCTTTCCTTCAGCCACTCCATGGGCTACATAACCACCCCAGAACTAAATGCTCAATCCCCACAAGTAACTCTCTTGTCTCATTAGTCACAGTAGTTCTTAGGCTGAGGCAGGCACCCACCCACAGGTGTGTATACCCACCCCCATATACATAATTTAAATTAAAACAAGTCTGTAGAAAAAAAAGTACAAAATTGGGGCTGGAGAGAGAGCTCAGTGGTTAAAGTACACTTGCTGCTCTTGCAGAGGGCTAAGTTCCCAGAACCTACATTGGGTAGCTCACAACTGCCTGTAGCTCCACCTCCAGGAAAATCCAATACCCCCTTCTGATCTCTGTAGGCATCCACACTCATGCATACACACAGACACATATGCATACACACATGCATATAATTAAATATAAATCTTAAAAATAGAAATAACAAGCTGTCGCTGAATACAACAGCATAAATAAAGTTCAGAGGCACTACATGGAGTGATCTATTCTCAGAAGATAACATTACAGGCATGGAGAACATACAAAATGTTACCTTCTAAGGGTGGTCTTGGAGGCCTTGACTGCAATGGGAGTGCATGAGAATTTGGGGATTGACAGAACAGTTCTGTCTTGATTGTGGTGGCAGTCACACAAATCTATACATCCATCCATCCCAAACTCCTAGAACTCTGCACAAAAGCAAGCTAATTTAACTATTTAGATTTGGGAATAAAAATGTGGGCAATGTTTTGAAAGGCCAAGTTAGGACTGGAGGAAGAAACTGTTTTTTTTTTTTTTGCATGGGTGGGACTTGAGTTTATCCATCTGTTAAGGAGGGAAGGTGCCCAAGAGGAGGAACTTGAGGTGTGACACCCAGGGCACCACCAGGAAGGAGGGGTATCATGCAAAGAAGCAAAAGGTAGAGCCAGTTTATCACTCTATTTTCCCCCATGAAAGAGCAGATCAGGTTTTCTGCCTATGGAGGAGGTAATGGGTGTGCAGGGAGGAGTTTGGTAAGGTTTGAAAACACTGTTAGGAAGAATGTGCCATGGACACTCTGAAAACTAGCTCTACAGACTGAGCAGCAGCGCAGATTTTACACAATGAACTTGCTGTGGCTCCCTAGCTGACCTTCCGTGTACTTATCTTCAGGATAAGTTGAGGGACAAGTGGCATGGATTTCAGAATGGGAGCCAAAAAAGCCACAAGAATGAAAGGCAAAGGGCCTGGAGTTGTAGCTCAGTTGGTGTGTAGTGGTTGGAGTGCTTGTTTAGCACTCTAACAAAGCCCTGGGCTCCATTCTCAGCACCGCATGAACTGGACATGCTGATACATGTGTGTAATTCTAGCACTGGGGAAGTGAAGGCAGCAGTATCAAAACTTCAAGGTCATCCTCAGCTAACATCCAGTTCAAAGCCAGCCTGGCACATGTGAGACCCTGCCTCAGAGAAAAGAATGAAAAAAGGGGCTAGAGATAAAGTACAGTCAGTAAGATGCCTGTTGTGCAACATCTGGTTTTAACCCCCAGTGCCCATGTAAAAGATGGGCATGATGGTGCATGCTATTCTAGTGCTGGTGAGGCAGAGCCAGGATGATCCCCAGGGTCAGTATCCGGCTATCACAGCCTACATGCCTAGTGCAATATCCCAGTGAGACTCAAAAAAAAGGTGGAAGGCTTCTGAGGAACAACACCCAACACTTGACCTCTGCCTCCACACAAAATATGACATGCACCAACACAGACTAACTCAGAGTGGGGGAAGAGGGAGGGAGGGAGGAAGGGGTAGGGAGAACATAGGATCAAGGAACATGAAGCCAACAGGATGTTGTTGGCCTAGTCATAGATGAGCAGGCAAGTGACCAGAGGCATTTGATCTGAGGGACTGTGATGAATAGGACCATAAGGTGTCTTCGTCCTTGATGTGGTCTTATGTTGATTCTGTAGTACTTTTTTTCTTGTAGTGGGAGGGATTGAATTCAGGACCCTGTATATACTAAGCACGTCCTCTTCTGGATTGCTTCAGCCCTCTTTTGTGCTATAGCAAATAGCCTATCCTTGATTTCATTCAGCTTTACTGTCCCATCCATTCCCTCAACAACATCCTACTGTGCCTCCCAACAGGGCTTGTTTACACCAGGCAGTGGAGCTAGGAAGGTTGCAACAACTCACTAGCCTGTGACCTTGATCTGCCTGAGGCTTCCCCCTTTTCCCCATACAATGTAGTAATAATTACATGTACCTTAGAGGATTGTTGTTCATATCAAATAATTTAGTACATGGAAAGTGCTTAAAACTGTACTTGATATAGAGCAAGCACTAAATAAGTAATCATGATCATTAAGGTCATTATTACAATTATCTAAACTTGGAGAAGAGACAAGTATGCTGAAGACCAAACCAACCTGCTAGACTGGAATGCTAGATTGCTGTGCTCTTAAATTGTATCTTACTAGCAAAGAGAAATAGTAGTGGCCAGACGCAAGGGCCTGCATGTAAAGTTTCTTCTACACAAACCCAGCCAACTCTCTAGGCTACTAAAATGTAGTCATCTGCTTCAGATCCCCAGCTCTCAGGAGGAGCATGTTAGATCCTGCAGTATACCATCACCTGAAAGAAATCAGGAGAATTAGGCCTGGCTCTGCCACTATCACTGTAACCTTGACTAAGTCACTGACTTCACTGGACCTTAGTTTCCTCATATGTGTACTAAGGGCACTGAAATGAAATGACCTCAAAGACCCTTTCCAGCTTATATAATCCTTGCAGCTGGCCCAACTCCATCTGCCTTCCTACAACTAGGACTTGAAATCTGCCATGGTCTCTGTCTTGCCAAATTTGTCATAATGTTCAGAAGAAATAGCATGTTGTACAAAGGTACAACATACAAACACACACACACACACACACACAACATTCTTAGTTAGGGTTTTATTGCTGCGAAGAGACACCATGGCCACACAACTCTTATAGAGGAAAACATTTCATTGGGGCTGGTTTACAGTTCAGAGGTTTAGCCCATTATCGTCAAGGCAGGAAGCAGGCTGGCATGCAGGCAGAAATGGTGCTGTGTCAACAAGGAGTTGAGCATTCTACATTTGTATCTGCAGGCAACAGAAAGTTACAGTAGCTACACTAGGCTTGGCTTGAGCTTTAGAGACCTCAAAGCCAACCCTTTATTGACACGCTTCCTCCAACAAGGCCACACCTCCTGAGTGACACTCCCTAAGAGCATATGGGGGCCATTTTGTTTCAAACTACCACATATACTTGCATATTTTTGATGACATGGTTTCATGTAATCCAAGCTGCTATTGAACTCACTATATAGTTGAGGATGACCTTGAACTTCTGATTTTCCTGCCTCCACTTTCAGAGCGCTGGGATTACAAGTATGTGCCATCAAATCCAGTTTATTCAGGGCTTTGTGCATGTCAAACAAGGACTCTACAAAATGACTATATATACCCAATCCACTATGTACCCTTTTGGTCATAGTACTCCTATCTCAAGGAATTTATTCCAGATATATCTGCATATATATATATATGAAACAATATGTTACAAGGATATTTGCAACTGCACTGTTAGTAACACCAAAAAACTAGAGATACATCTGGATGTTCTCCA